AGTCCCCTAAACCGGGTTATCCAGATAATGTGCTGAATTTGGGGTTACTTGCTAAGTCCCTTGGGCCGTCAGGTAAGATCGCGAACTTGCCTCCAGGCTCAGCGTCAGCGTCTCCAGTGGCAGACCGTAGTCGGGGACGACATTCGTGTCATCAGTGGGAGCAGCCTGCGGCAAGCGGTGATCGTCGCCGTTGTCCCAGAGAACTCCAATATCTCTTAATTAAGGAACATACCTTAAATCATATCAGGGATCCTACTATAATTTAAGGTACATTCCTTAATTAAGGAATATTGGAGTCTCTGGGGTCGTGGTGCCGGGAGTTGAGTCTTTTGTTCGCATGCGCATGGCTGGGATCAATGCGCACGCGCGAGGTCGGTTAGGAGGGCTGAACTGTGGTGCCATCAGCAATAAGGGTTTAGGGTTTACTAGCTGGAGAAGTCCAGGTAGTAGCAACAGCCGTCGCAGCCGCAGCAATAGCGGTAATGGCACAAGCAGTAGCAGCAGCAGTGGGAACGGTAGTGGAGTGGAGTATCTTTCGGTACTGACCTTGTGGCTGTTGTCGTTTGTCTTAATCACACACACACACACACACTCACACACCGAGGCAATGAGTCTGAAGGCTGGCTAACAAACGGCAATCACCGACAAGTAATTCATAGAAGTAGATCGAAGTAGGTCTGAGAGCAAGCAAGAACGAAACACCCTAACCCAGAACCCTGAAAAAGACAGTTCGGGGCCGAAAAGGGGAGTTCGGGACCTGTCACCAGGACAGAGCTGCTGACAATCCCGCGGACTTTTGCGAGGGTTTATATAGGGTTGTAGGATGTGAGGTTCACAACTTACGGTTGTGGGTTTAGGTCTTGAGACATGTCTTACGCTCTCGCAACTCGGACATGCGACAAGTCTTAACGGTGTAGGGTTTTTAAGGTTTCAGGGTTTCGGATTTACGGTCTTCCACCTAGGGACCTGAGGTTCATTGCAGGGGGTTGGGCCGGGTTGTCAGACCATGCCTTGAAATTGTGGTTGCCAGGATCCAGCCTCGCTTCAACGACCTGAGACAACTGCTAATCGGATGATTCGTTATAAAGGTTTATTACCTGAATCTGTAGTCAAATCGTAAGATGTTTTAGCACTGTGGCTTGAGGAGTAAGCTTATACCGTGTACAGGTTCTGGCCCTCGTGGAATCTCCGCTGTGCGACTACCAAACCAGGCGGATACTATCAGACTCTTGTCCAAGCAGCCAGGTCGACCTAACACCCTTGTTGAACGACGTCTCTCTGAAGTGCCTCCCGAAGAGCCAGATCTACAAGCATGTCAACCTCTCTGCACCGAGAAGGACCGTCAAAATCCTCGAATAGCTCCCTTGATCGCTCCCGGAAGCCCTCGGGAGTCGACCCGACAGGCTGTTCCTTGGGGCATTTACTATAGGGGCCTTAATATTCAGAATAGGGATTTGGGGGGCCCGTTTTACTATAAATATAATAAGGAACCCCCCAAAATGGGGTAATTATTAACGCCCCTACATTAGGGCGCCATGCTGTCCTCGCTCAGAAGCCTTTGAGGGGCATTTGCATGGGACACGGAGGAGTCGGCTCCCGCAACCTCACCTACTTCGAGCTAATCTGGGATGAAGATCGTGGCGGTAGGGAGTAGGGTCGTTCAAGGGCTGAGTTAAACTCGTCTTACTTCAAGACTTGGGGCACACTCTTCGAGGCTCCTTCGCCCGGGATGCATCTTCAACCATGAGGCCTGCAACCGGGCCGTCACGTGCTTCAGTTCAGACTCCAGCTGCTTCCGCAGCCAGGCCATCCTAGGTGCCCAGAGTCGCCATGCAGAATCAAAGTGGCCATTAAAGGGGTTTCGGCGCTCACACTCGGACAATCCAGGAGAGGCTTTAAAAGGGGTTTAGGGTTTAGGGGCTATTAAAGAGCGGAAGCAGAAATGGATTCGAATCCTTCACCTGAACCTAAACCCCCGAATCTAAACTACCGCAGATCCCACCAACAAGCTGAAACAAGACATGTAACACAAGTGCACCGGATTCCCCCTATTTAATTGCCCGGTCATCCACAAGGACCTTCCTAAACCCTAAACCCTAAACCCCATGCACTGTAATATAGGGTCTTGGGGCCCAGTACACTAAAACTATACTCACACTGAGGATTCACCAAAATTGTATGGTAATTTTTCCGCCCCTATAGCATGAGCATCAGAAGTCCCACAGCCCTTCTTTCCACTTGGAGTGTGCTAAGGACTGCAGCTGGGCTGCTCTTGCTCCAGAACTAGCAGCCGCTCCTCTGGGAGCCTGGGTTCGTGCTTTAAGGAACTGATAAATTTTGTCATTAGGGATAGTACATCATCCTACATCCTGAACCGTATGACATGTTAACTTCAAAAACATTCCTGAATACACACCCTTTCCTACCACCTTAAACCACAAACCGAATGACATGCTACTCGTAACTTCAAAAACCATCCCTTAAATGAGGCCCTTTTATGCCTAAGCCCTTGTTGCGCAGACTTGTATATGCCCGGCCCTAAACCCTAAACCCTACCCTGTTTTTGAACGAGGTCTCCCCAAATCCTAGACCCTAAACCCTACATGGTACTCGTAACTTCAATTCCATTCCTTAACCCTTCTACGCCTGGAGTATGCATATGCCAGGAACCGACCCTAAACCCTTTGACAAGAGCCCCGGAGCTGGACCAGCTCTGCGCTGAGCGAGAGCTCGGGCTCCTGCCAGGGAGAAGAGAGCTGGAAAGCTAATGTAGGGGCCTTAATACTTAGAGTAGGGTTCCTTTGAAGAGCTCTATATGAGGGTTACTATAAGACCTAGATTTAGTATAAGGGCCTTGATAATTAGGATAGGGTTCCTTTAAAAGGGTCTATAAGGGCTACTATAAGGATTTAGTATAGGGGCCTTAATAATTAGAATAGGGTTTTGGGAATATAATGAAGAACTCCCCAAAAGAGTAATGGTAACTACTTAGGGCCCCTGTAGTACCTGGACATACCTACTTTTCACATAGCAAGGACCCCCCCCAAAAGGTAGGTCATTTGGGGTTAAGGTAGGGTGTAGGGGGATGGCTGAGGTTGCGGTTGTGATCATGCCGATGAACTTTGTTTGTGATTCAATTGATGATAAATCTCATTGTGATTCTTTGCATCTTCATTGTTACTACTCTCTTCTGAGCACTGACCACAGATACTACCATCATAGTTGCTGCCATGACTAGTTCCTCATGGCTGTTACATGCCATGTGTTACTCATTCCCATCCGCCAGGCCTTCCATGACTGCAAGTCTTCTTCGACACGCTTCGACCCCGCAGGAATGGTTGGCGCCGGCATGGCTGGCCAGTACCGAAATGACTACTAGGGGTGAACCTACATAGTCTGCAGACATTCTGTGCTTCTTGAAAGAGATGCGTGGTGTGCCCAAGCTCATGGAGTCAAATCTTGAATGCTCAAGTATCCAGCTCTTCCTTGCATAACGACCTCTTGCAGAATGCTCGGCCAACTGTCCCTGAAGCCCTCCAGACTTCCCCTGTGCTTGCCTTGACGAAATGGGTCAAGCTTGCACGATGCAACTCACCGGACCCATCATCATCTGCACTGCTGCGCGTCTCCTTTTTTTGCTAGAACCAGGCTCCTTAATCAGGTCATGCATCCAATCGAGGGGTGTGCGGTCGTTTCGGTCGTAAGGCGCCGCTGGACGATAATCCCTCTTAGGTCGTGTCTGATAGAGTGATGCAAACTCCGTGAACGGATCATGTGACTACCGTCGTGAAGCAACACAGGTCCGAGCGTGTCAAGTGCGCCTTAATCTTCCGAATGAAAGAGGACCACTCTTAACAAGTGCCCGATGAGAGGAGTTTCCGAGGGATTGGATCAGCGGTGTTGCGGCCTCCTGCATGTCTTAAACTCGCTGTATCCCACGTCTTGCACGATGCACTTCTCCGGCTCCGCATGTCGGGAGTCGAAACCTCGACCCTGATTGCCACAAAGGTCCCTGTGTTATACCCTTATAACAACTCGTCTGGAGAACCCCTTTAGAGTAACCCTTATACACCTTTAAAGGAACCCCGTAAAGGAACCCAAACTCTGCGCCCAGACTGCCAAGGATCGTCAGGGAATGCTGCAGTGAAGCGACGCGTGCCTGGAAGGTCTTTCCCTTTATGTACCCAGACCCCCAATAACCACTAATTTACCCCAAATGCCGCTGTTAAGGGCCATAGGGACGCTATTAGGGGGCCTTGGGGGGGGTCCTGGTAGGGCTTGGGGTTTCGGGGTTTCGGAGGGTGTAGGGTTCATATTTTGACGCTTACACTCTGACAATGCCAGGAAAGGTCTGCAAACAAGATTAGGAAGTAGGAGTACATTAGAGGAGTCGCTTAAGACAGGGTTACAGCAGTTAATGATAATATACGCCATACCACCACCATTATGATCAGGACCGCCGGGGAGCAATGTTGGTAGCATTGGTAGTTGTTGGGGATGGGCCTGATATTATATACATATCCTGCAAAAAGTACAGCCTCGCGGTTTGCAAAGCGCAAACCTGGTCAAAAGAGTTGAGCTTGAACCGCTCCTCCCTTACGACTGTCATGCGCTTGCCCCCCATGGATCACCTTAAAATTCTTACAACAACACTTTAAGCTTATAGGCTCCTGAACCCCAAATAAGCCCAAACCAACCTCTCCGCATCTTCTAGCCTGGATGGACATCGCCGTTGCAGCCTCCTGACGACTCGACTGCGATGCATCGCGAAGGCCCTTGGGCAAACAAGGGCTTCGGATTCTGGTGTTCAGTTCGTCGGTGTGACGAGGGAACGGCATAATATTTCGAGCCATTGCATTTTCTCACAAGACACACGATTGCAAAACTGTATGCTGTAAATATCCGACTACATACATGTGTATCTATCTAGTTACCTCTTCTTCAGGGAGCCTAGAACCTATGAGGTGCTGATGCATGCATGTGTCGAGACTCCATCCACCCAGGGGAATTCATGTCTAGAACAAGGGCTTACTGTCAATTACAGTCTTTTTGTTGTTGGAACCCTGAGGAATCACATTACGAATCATGCCCTTCTCCGACACCAGCTACGATCTTGAGGATCAGGGCCCAGGGCTTTAAAGGGTTCAGTTGAGGCGCTCAGCCCTCAACGCCTGACAGCTTCTCGCTATTGAATTCCGCTATTGGCGCTTATGGGCTTGGTGCGGTATCTTGAACTCCCCGTGGCTACTACAGAAAGAAGCATGAGATGCATAGAGCTGCACATGCCTTCTTGGAGCCTGGGTTGATGTTGGCTTTTGCGGATGTGTGACCTTCTGGCTTACAGTCGTTGATGGCTTGCCGGGTCTAGAGTCTGGGGTTTAATTGGCCGACTTATTTCCTAGGTGTACTCGGCCCAGGGCTTAGGATTTAAGGACTTTTTGGGGCGTTCAAGCTTTATGGGCTGTGGCTCAACGCGGAGGGACTACATAAAGGCCCAAGCGACTTAGTAAGTAATGTTACAAGTTATACGTCAGCATACAATTAGGATAACCCTACCTAGGGGACATAGAACCCCAATTACAAGCCTATTTGCTAAGGCCGAGCCCTTAAGCAGGGGCCTGTATGGCTAGAGGTGAGTTTCCGAAAATGGGGGACCCTAACATAGTACCCTGAATAGTAGAATTCTCATTACCAGGGCCTGAAACAAGGTACCCCAAGTTATCGGAAACCCTAAACCCCCAATGGTTGGGTTATTCAAGCAGATGGACCCCTTAAAGAAACCCCTATGGAGCCCTGTAAAGGAACCCTTACAGTACCCCTAATTATCGGAAACCCTAAACCTTTATAGAGCCCTTTAAAGGAACCCTTATAGTACCCCTATAGTACCCCCTCTCAAGGAACCCTGAGGTACCCTTATAACCCCTATAGAGCCCTTTAAAGGAACCTTTATAGTATTTATAGTATCCCTACAGTACCCCCTCTAAAGGAACCCTAAGGTATCCCCTATTTTTGGGAAACTCCCAGGTGGGTCAAGGAGCTCCCAGCTGCTCCATGCACGAGGCGAGGCGCCTCTGCAGGATTTCTCAAGACGGGTTTAGGGTTTAGGTTTTGGGGTTTAGGGTTAGGGTTTGGGGTTTATGGTTAGGGTATAGGGCTTAGGGTTTAGGTTTTAGGGTTAGGTTTTTTTTCAGCACCTTTTTCCGTCTTAGGGTTTAGGGTTAGTGTTTCGGGTTTAGCTTTGGGAGAGAGGCTACGACATCTCTTGCTTAATCTAGGCTAGAATAGGGGCACCACTTAGACTATAGTTCTGATCAGGCACCCCCAAAAGAGTATTGGTAATTTATTTCAGCCCCTATAGTAAACAGGATCATGAAAGAGTCTTTGAACTTTGGATAACATGATGGGGTCTGCCAGGGCGTTCAGGTTTTGCATCAAGGATATGCCGCAATGTCGCCCAAGACAACCCAACAAATTACACCACTGCTCATCAAACCTTGGGAGTTTCGGAAAATAGGGGACCCTAATACAGCAGCCGAAAGAGTAGTATAAGGATCCCAAAATAAGGCATCCCTAATTTTCGGAAACTCCCAGTTTGCGGTGCTTAGTGAAAGCCTTTCAAACTCCTCCAGGACCATCTCTTTGGCTTGAGCTTGGTACTCCGGTCCTCAGTCGGCACTTGGGGGTTTCCGAAAATTAGGGGTACCCCAGGGTTCCTTTAAAGGGTTACTATAAGGGTTCTATAAGGGTTCCTCTAAGGGGCTCTATAAGGGGTTTAGAGTTTCCGAAAATTAGGTGTACCTATTTGGGGGTCCTTATAATAAGGATCCTACTATTTAGGGTACTATATCAGGGTCCCCTATTTTCGGAAACTCCCACTTCTGTGCTCAGGGTTGGGTTTAAAGTTTACGCTCTCGCCACTCGGACAAGCCAGACAGGGTCTAGGATTTTAAGCTAGCTCGTGATTCCCCAGGTTTTTGGTGGGTGTGTAGCAGTTCCGACGCGAAGATCTGAGTTGCGCCTTCAACTGAGTAGGACAGGACATCTCTGCGAACACCTCAATGTAACATACCCCAAAACCTTGTGCTAATGATGCAGGCCCCTACATTCCAGCCAGTAAGGAACAGTCCGATGGTCCTCTGTAAACGGAACCCGCATAAAAGAACCCTATTCCAATTCCTAAGGCCTCATATTATGCAGCGGTTTGTCTTTTCGCCAGGCGGCCGAACCGAGTAGCCTGCGTGCCACTTTGGGCGCGCTTCAGCGATGACTGCGCTCCCAGGTGTGCAGGCGCACACCCACGTGTTTAGGGCTCTCGGGTTGGGGCTAGGGCTTAGGTTGCCTGGGCCATGAATCCTTTTTAAGGACTTATATACAAAGAATCATAAAGGTAGGTTCTTTGGGGTCCAGGTAGGGTGTATATATGATACGACTCATAATGAGGAACCCCCAAATAGTATAGGTAATTTAGGCCACCTACAGTATAAGAGTTAGGTTTACGGTTCGAGCATGCGGTCGAACATCGACCCGCAGGAAGGCATGCACATGCCACTCATGAGTGTGCATGTACGCATGCCTGTACATGTTTGTTGTATGTATGAATGTATGTGTATGTATGAATGAGTGTATGTAGACAAGATTTGTATAGACATATGCACCTAGGTGTATATGCGAACGAACAGACATACAGTATACAGTGAATACAAAAACAGAGGAAAAGATATACATATGTATGCATGTGTGTACAGTGTAGAAGGATCTACAAACATAGAACTGCCGAGCGAGTGTCGCTAACCTTCACGCAGCAGAGGGCAGTATATGTACACGTGTCAGGCCTGCTACCCCCTGCAATGCGAGTGCAGAGACTACGACTTCAAAGCAGCAGTGAAAACCGCCCCTGCACTTCGCTAGTCGAAGCTCACTTCACTCCAATCCAACCAAGCATCACCTCAAGGCAAGGATGCTTTCTTGTCAGGGCACGGGATTTCAACATTGTCTTAGGGCAGCTAGACTCAGCTAGACTCGACCTTGTGCAGCATCTTCTCCACAAGCCATGCAGCTGATCTCAAGTACAAGGTAGTCGCTGCGTCGATAGCCCTCTGAGAAACATAGTAATAGTAAAACCACATGTTTATTGTTCTCTTGGGTTTTATGTGATCAAACATTTCAAAAAACATATTCCTCAGGAGGCTATAGCTGTGAAGTGACGAACTACGACTCTGACTGTGGTGCCGCATGGCGTGGAGGGACCCAGGCTCGCCGGGAGAACTAAAAACTAAAAACTCTCTGCAACGCATTTCCTGTTCTCAGTATACTGCTATTCTGTTATCTTAAACCAAAGTAAACTATACTTTACCTTAGTATATAACATTATAGTATTATAATATCATGACCTTGTAGTATATTACAATTGACCTGGAAGCGTTTCCCAAGTTTTCAGTTGGGCCGAAGGCGAACATGAATTGCAATCTGATACTTGCTAACCCACAAAGACCTGGCAGGTTTCTCGCTGCAGCGCTGGCAATTCCACACCTCCACCTAGACTAAACTACAACACTAAATCCACTTACCTCCGCAGCAAAATGCCCAGCACACCTTCATCCCCAACGCGTCGGAACTCCGCGGGTCGCTCTGCGGTGAAGCAGCCCAGGCGTTTCCACTCCTCAGAGCTGAGTTCCATGCGCAGGTTTGGAGTTTCAAGGGCTTTTTTAACACTGAAATAACGGCCGCTCAGTGTTCAAGCAACTCACATGTAAGAACAAGATGAGCTTCCAGGCCTTGCGCCACAAGCCTCGCTTTGTTCCGAAGCCTGTCATGAATTGATCTGGTCGTGCTTCGTTGCGCTCCATCGGCTCAACCTACAAATCCTCAACCGCATTACGGCCTGATCGTATCATGCAGGGAGCCCTCCCCGAATTGCACTGTACCTGCACCAAGGCACTGCCAACATGTCGCGACGGAAGGGGCCGAAGACCACTCCTGTTCTTGCGCTTCTGATTTGTGGAACAGCTTTGGGGTCTCAAGCACCGGCAGGGGACGTCCACCACCGTGAGGAGTGGCCTGCGAATGATTTCTTATGAGTCGCCCGCCAGCACCAAATAACAACAAAAAGCTAAACATCATGTTTACCATTATGACTGTGGACATTACCTGCGGTGTCTTTACCACAACTAAAATTACTGCCATTTACTATCGCTATGACTATTTTCTTTATCAGTATCGCTATACCATACAAGCATCACACTTAAAATCATCAGCGCTATCATCATTCTACTAGTATGGTTGGCCGACAGAAGTCTCGACAAGTGAATGGGCTTCCATGGCCTGCAAGGTCTCTCAAGCCCATGTAAAGCCTAGGTTTTTTGAACGACTCGAGTTTAGGGTTGGATGTTTACGGTCTTGACTCTCGCAAGTCGCACTCGCTTACAGGGGCCTGCATAACTACCAATACTATTTTGGTGGTTCCTTACTATGATTATAGGAGAGTGGGCAACAAACCCCTATTCTAATTATTAAGGCCCCTATACTAAATCCTGATAATAGCCCTTATGGTAGCCCTTATAGACCCTTTTAAAGGAACCCTATTCTAATTATTAAGGCCCCTAATAGTACCAGAAACCTTGAGCCGCCCCCGCTAAGACCTGAGAAGGAAGCCCACGTCTGGCACCTGTTAGTTTCCTAAAATTAGGGGTGCCTTATTTTGGGGCCCTTATAATAAGGATCCTACTTAGGGTATAATATTAGGGTCCCCTATTTTCGGAAACTCCCACCTTGCTCGTCGCCAGCCGACCAGCGATACTGCCAGTTCCTGTGGGAAAAAGATGCCTTGAGTGCTGTTTCTGGTTTCTGGTGATTATTGTTGATTCTCGCTTTTCAGTGGCTGAGGTTGCTCGTTTGGCTGGCGGGCTCACGATGGTAGTTCAATGCAACTCATTGTCCCCTGGTATGCGGGCTCTTCGCGGGTGAGATACAGCGAAAACGGTGTGGACACCACAGCCCGCTTAAGCAGAGCCTTTTTGGAAGGATGTTTTATGTGCCGTCGTAGACTACTATAGGGGGCCTTAAGGATGAGGAGAGGGTTTTGGGGCCCTTTAAAACTATAGTTACAAAAAGGAACCCCCAAAATTGTATAATAGGTAAATATTCAGACGCCTATAGTAGATGACCCAGCACCCGAAGCATGGCAAAAGGATGGTCTTGCGGGGTACGAGGTGCCACGGATAAAGTTACGCACAGCTTCTCTTCTGACATTACACTTCGAGGATCATGGGACTTAGTAAATAGGTTATAATCGAGGGTATAAGTACCCTAAGTGGGGTTATCCTAATTATAACCTAAGCGAACCTTACTTACTAAGTCTTTCAAGCCTTTAAGTAGGCGCATGGCTGTGGGACAAGCTGTTGAACAACGCCCCAGGCACTCGCAACTCGGATCTTCCGCAGCTTTAGCGGCTCCGACCTGCACGTCTCCCAAGATTGGGTGATAGATTGTGGCGATGCTATACCCATCGGCCCCAAAGTAGTTCCTTTTTGGGGTTCATAGATAGAATTCTATTAGGTAATCCCAAAAAGGAACTACTTTGGGGCCCCTGGGTAAGTGATGACGGGCTGATCTCGAAGTCGCTTTGACGCCAAGAGGGCAGCTGTGCGGTTCGCAGCTGGGTGCTCGAGTTTGCCGCATATTTGATTACCTGCGGAATGTGGCTTGAAATTGAATCTTCTACTGTAAACACATCCGAAAACCCTTTATAGTACAGGGGTGCCAACATCCAACCAAACACCACCAACACAAACGAATGGCGTCCGAGTAACACCAAAAAGTTCTTGTGCCATACAAAGCACAGGGACCCAAACTTCCAGAACGCGCCTGGAACACTGGTCTTTATTCGCGCTCCCTTGATGCATCGAAGGTTTTGGGGCTTCAAAGACAAGACGATCGAAACTAGATAATTAGACGAATTAGACTTTACAGGCTTACAGGGCTTATGGTTGGGTGCCTTTGAAGCATCTCTCCACTAATATTGGATTACTAGATGTAACAAGTCATAATGTTAAAAGAAGAAACGGTTGATGGCCAGTACAACCGGCTATGTCCCCTGCGACTGCGACCTTCCGACAGAGTGGAACCCCATCCCTAGGACAGGACACGCCTCAGCATCCTTGCCTGGACCTGCTTTTTTGGCAGCTTTGGCCTTCATCTTACCTCAGGCTATAGGATTTAGGGTGTAGGGTTTAGGGCTTAGGGTATGTTTGAGCTTGCTAGATCTTCTGTTGTGGTGCGATTACCTGGACTGATGCAGAGTCCGCCCAGTGTCGGGCACGCACCAATGACTTATGCCTAACAGGCTCATGGAGGACCATCATCTGAACTTTCGGTTTTCGGGTTCCAAAGCCGAGTCAAAATTGAAAGTCCTTAACCCCTGTATTGAGGTGGAGGCTACCACAGCCTAGTTTCCGGTACGAGTCAGGAGCCAGGGTCGCTTGGCTGGCGAATTGAAAGTCTTCTACGGGGTGGCAGGGACCTAATCCTTAAACATCCCTCGAGCTAGGCTGCTGAACCCTACCCTTGTAATTCTGGTTGCTTGGATAAAGAAATGATTCCTCAGACGGATACAACGTTAACACAGGTGAAGACACTTTAAATAAAAGCTGAGCCCTCGGATGAAGTAACGGTAAGTGAAAAGTTAAGGTAACAAAAAACAGTATTCATGTAGAATCTGCACGATCTGGCACAGAGTCTCTCCTGCAGTTTAAGAATCGAACTAAATGGGGGTTTCCGAAAATCGTGGGACCCTAATATAGTTCTAGTTCTAGTCACTGGGGAGTTTCCGAAAAGGGACCCTACTGGTAATGTAGTACCCTGAATAGTAGGATCCTCATTATCAGGACCCCGGAATAGGGTACCCCCAATTTTTGGAAACTCCCAAATCTAGTTCTAGTAATTTGGTGAGCTGGAGAGGCCGCAGTGTGGCTCGAGCTCTGAGCTCAAAGCCTGTGCAGCCCCACATCCCTACTCAGTTGGCTGACAAGTGGAGGTTGCGGGGTCGTAAATATTGAAAATATACCGCCGAAAAGGTGGAAAGGTAGTTAGTGCACCTGCGCTGTTTTGGAGCCAGTTCGGGGGAAGCTAAACAAAAGGCTGCGCTCCGGTCACTCACTCTCACTCTCACCCCGTCACCCCACCCCCACCCTCACCCTGGTGCTCCCTCACCATCAAGCACTCTCACCCTCACTCACTCACTCTCTCTCTCTCTCTCGCACAGTCGTCGCTGCTCTCGCCAGCTCAAGCAGAGACCCAGCCGATGCGCAGCAGGGCGGCGGACATCATTCATCCTATGATTCTAGTAGGGTTGCTGTGGTATAGAGGTACCCCGGACTATAACGGGGTCTTCTTACTAATCATTCAAACTAATCAATCACTTTCGCAGCTGTATATATCCGTTCGAGTTGCCGCGTGCTTTCACGCTGCGAAGCTTCATCAGCTCAGCGCGTGAAGCCTGTCAACCATTGACGGTTTAGGATTTAGGGGCCATACTTTCAAACACTCTGGTGAATGTAAGAATGCAAAGCTATACACAGAGCGAGGAACTAAGAAGGCATAAGACCCTCAAACCCTCAACTCCTCGACCTCGAGAACCTTGAACTCAAAACGGCGGCAGCGCCCCGAACTAGAGGGAATCGCCTCGTAGACAGACGCAATTCCGTCGAACACGAGCTGGTCCTGAACTGAACTGCCAGCCAGTTCTTGGGACATCAGACAAGATGAGCAGGGCCAGGGTGGGCCAGGCCGGCATGAAACGGTCTGTCTGTCGGAGAGTTCTACTGTAGCGGCTGTAGCGCCCGAGCCGGACAGTCTTCACGCCCAGGCTACTACCTACCACCAACCCTTCATTCTACCCGCCGCTGGCCCCGAAGCACATCGATGTTGTCTCCCCAAGTGTGGGATCATACCTCGCAGATCTAAAAGGTCCAAGGGGCCTCATGCTTGACATGCCGGAAACCCTAAGCCAGCCACCCCAAAGGATGCAGGCAGGCGTCACATAACTCCGAGATTCGTGTGAAGCTGCACCTGTCGTCCTCGGCCTGAAATTGACAGAAGACCATTCCCAGCAGTCCATCACATTCCAAGCAACACTACAGCTTGAACAGAGGAGAGCAGCACTCAAAAGCTGTGACGGGCAATCTCCTTCTGGACAGCGTGGCCTTTGCGATGCTATGTATACTTCGGGAGTCTCAGATAGCCGTTCGGTTGTTTTCCTTGCAAAGTCATATGCTACTCCTTTCATTCTTGTTCAAACCTGAACCCTAAGCCCTCAACCCCAAGCATCATAAGCCACCCTGACATCCTGGTCATGCGACCCTGAATTCCAACCACTCCCTACCTTTAACCCTGAAGCCCTGCACCCTGCATCCTAATTACACCAACGACACACAAGACTTTGCCGTGACCTCCATAAACCCTGAACCTGAGGAAAGCGATGCTTATAACCCAAACCCCCGGGAGGATCCAAAAAATAGATCCCTTAATGGGGGTTCCTGCAAAGTACCCTTAGTAGTATAGTGCCCAAATTAGGGAATCTACTTTCTAGATCCTCCCGGGGTCTGGGAAACAAAGTCATGCCGCCGACTTCTCCTTTTCATTCGCCTCGCCAGGCTCAACGTTTAGGGAGTTCTCGATTGTTGTTCATATGGGTGGTAGTCAAAATTATGGTCCCTTTTTGGGTACCCTAAATGATGTCCGTTAATAAGAAGGACCCAAAAAGGGACCCTAATTTTGACAACTGCCCATATGTTCATTATGTTGGCTAAGGGCTCTTATCCGTCGGGCCATAGTTCCGACTTTGAAGCTTTGGGAAGTCGGTGGTGTGCGGATTCAGGGCTCAGGGGATCCCTCAACACCTACTTGAGCCTTCATGGGACTTAGTAAGTAAGGTTATAAGTAGGTTATAATTAGGGTAACCCCACTTAGGGGACTTATAACCCAAATTATAACCTACTTACTAACTCCCATGGTCCTTTAAGTAAATCCTGAACCCGCAAAGCCAGTGACCGTTTAGGGCTTTCGGGTTGCTATAGGTACAATAAGGGTATTACGGTATTACGGGCACTAGAAAGGGTAAGCACTGTCGATTTCACCGGAGGGGCCTTTGTGTTAAATCATGATTTCAGTAGAAGGTAAGCCCTGTAGAGTTGTGAACCGAGCACTTGGGTCCAAAAGGTCTTGCTTCCGATGCTAAAGCTTTCGATCGTTTCTCAGCAAGCTAGGGCTACTTCTTGATGAACAGCTGCTTTGCCTCGGACTCGGACCTGGGACGCTTTTCAATTTACAATTTCTGACCTGCATGTCCAATAGTTTACTTCATGAGTAGCCAGCTAAAATAAAATATCATCAGGACGATGATCTCAGCCCTAAGCCCTACAGACAGTCGTGTGACTGTACTTCTCGCCCCAAGCCTGGCACCTAATTCCGAACACAATCACCATCCCCACGGCCGTTTCCATCACAACGTAGAATCAGAGAATAAGCACAACTACATCTGCAGCTGCAGTGGTTGGATTAAGACAGGTGATCAGCATCAGTATTGCGAGAGCAAACTGCAACTAGCCCTGGATTCGCATTGTTGTGCTGCTGTATCGATATATGTGGCTTGTAATTTAGCAGCAGCCTGAGCAGCCTGAACTCATGCTACGACTAGATACCTCTAGAATATGATCAAAGGTAAAAGCAACCCAACTTGCTTCGTAGATGGTCCCAAGCTGGACATACTCAAGGGCTACAGGACTCCTCCGGCAAAAGCTTGCAGCGCAAAGCGAGTTGCACCCACCCCGAAGCACAGATACCAACTCCTACGCCTTGAATCTTGAACCCAAGTGTCTGAAAATCCAATCCCAGCACAAGACCGAAGCACGAGACCGTCCTATCATGTCTGTATACAAAGTCTGGCACGTATGCAATAATTACATACATACTTACTTATGTAAAAGAATAACTACTAATGTCAAAATTAAGTGTATATAATTACATATATCTATGTAATTATTATGTATACGCCAATAGTAAGACTAGAACTGTGTACATATGTGTGTCCTGAGCTGCCAAACTCACCAAGCCTTGCGCTTCTTGGGGCGAAGTCTCCGCAGCGCGCCTGCGGGTGTCTCCCCTGGCTGGAGCTCCTTGGCGTCGCGGGTCTACAGTAGGGTTTAGGATTTTTTCCCAGGATTTAGGGTTGCAACCCCTAAGTAAAGCCATCATTGCCGCTGTCCTGCATGTCGTAGCAGCAGTACTGTACAGGTAGCAGTGTGCTGGTATAACTGAAGATTCTTTGGAGCCACTTGTAATTTCATGACTACTATGCCGAGATGTGACCGGCTTGTTGAGGCGATTGGGACGCTGCAAGCTAGAAAGTGTAAAGAGAGGTGTATTGAAAAATCTCTTGCAGAGCGCCACAAAGTCCACAATGTTTTGGTTTACGGCCTACTTGCAAGTGTCGGGATTGTGCGGGCGAGGCTAGTACTACTAGTACTGCTGGTACTACTAGTACTAGTACTAGTACTAGTACTAGTACTAGTACTAGTACTACTACTACTACTACTACTACTACTACTAGTGTCCATGCAGGTATGGGTTTTCATCACCCTAACCCTTGAGCCCAAAGTCCCTGCCCTGGACCAAAAGCAAATCCCCAATACTCATGCCCAAACATGTCGGACGTGGTTGAGACCGTGTTCTGCCACGACAGCACTTCTACCATCACGAAGGTTGATGAGTAACTTTGGGATAAGGCAGCGAAAATTCTAGACTCAGCAACAATAGAAGTCCACAGTGTAACCGTAATTATTGCTCAAGTCCAGGGGCTGCCTGAGATGTATGGGTCTTCGGCAGGAGCCTGGTTAAGCAATCCTTGATACCAGTACACCCATACTGTGTCGTTTCTGCCGCACACTAAAACAACTAGTGCCACGACAGGTCTGCAGTAGGTGTGTTGGCCAACGGCCACGAAGGACGACACCCCTTATCCCTCTTGCCAGCCATATGCCCTTTCACGCCGCGATTTTATCCAGTCTCTATGGGAAACCGGCAGGCATCAAAGCACATAAACCTGGCTGCCTAATCTAACATCGACCCAACATCTTTCTAAACCCTTTACACCCTCAAAGGCCACAAATTTCCCGGCCTCTACCAGGGCTTCCAGTCTCGACTGCACATCGCTCTCGGCCCTCATCCGCTCTCGCACCTCCAATTGCTGAGGGAGTAGGCTTAGGGTTTAGGGCCTGGAGTTTACGCTCTGACAACTCGGACAAGCCAGGCGAGATTCCACAAATGCGAGTCGTAACCAAGCAAGCAAAAACTACCAAACCGGAGCTCAAGAATCACGAAAGAACCGAACATCACAAATCCTAGGCTTTAGGGTTCTGGGTCATCATGTTCAGGAAGTTAGGGTTACGCTCTCACAACTACAAACAAATGCAACTTGCAACTTGTAAACGACAAACCTTTTTCAACTGTTTTTTCAAACCCTGCTATTTGCAAAGCCTCCTCCTCAAAATTTGCCACTCTTAAAAGGCTTTATGGGACCCCCCTCCTCCTCGTAAAGCGCCCGCTCCGGCGCAGGCAGTGGTCCCAGCTGGGCACAGTGCTCCAGGAAGTCGAAGTGAAGCTTCTGAAGATCTCTGTCCTCTTTTCATAGGAGTCTCTAGAGCTCTGTCTTTGCAGGAATGAACCTTGTTTCAGGAAGTTTATTGAGTTCGTTGGGGGGGTTGGTCCTGTTTAAGGATTTCATACTTCTGTTTTTGACTATTGCGTGTTGTCTAAAGAAGTTCATAGTTTATGTGAAGAAATGGGTCCTCTTCAATGGAGCTTATCAGGGCTTTCAGAGAAATTGGCCCATGTTAGAGGGAGTCTATAGGGTTGTTTGGAGGAGCTGATCCGTTTTACAGGAGTTGATAGGGGGGTTGTGAAGGAATCAAGAAGGGTTTCTGTCGGGCGTGATAAGTGTTATACCAAAGGTTTCTCGAGTGCTTCAGGATGTTTACCAGGGTTTAAGTTCGACAAGGTTGCCGTGCGGTAGCCAATGCATGGAGTTAACGGAGATGGCACCAGTGTGTGCATTCTGCAAGCACGCACCAAGGACGGAAACCTCCATCTAGGCCCAATTAATCCTCCACATCTTCGTCTGTGAAAGGTTGCATGAAGGCCATGCATATAATAGTAAGAAGAAGAGTAATCCTAACAATAATAGCAATAATAATAATAATCATACGAATAATAATACGAATCAAGTGTTCCCAGTACGCTCGCACCAAGGCTCAGTCGGCAAAAGGACTGACTACCGTACTGTCTCAGCTCAAACCCAGCACATGCACCGTCAGGAACGATGCATCCGTCCAGTCCAGCCCCTGTACTTGGAGGATCATGGGACTTAGTAAGTAAGGTTATAAGTACCTTCATCGGGGTTATAAGTAGTTTTCAGTATAGTTACCTTAATTATAACCTTAGTTGCTAAGTCCCATGATCCTTTAAGTAGGAGCTCCACAAAGCCCTTTATGTTCAGGCCCGTGTACAGTGTGCAGCGAGTACGTTAGTATCATTAAGCAGGAGTAGCATTATGCATACTATCCTGAACCCCAGCCGTCCTTGATGTCATGGAAGCTGGAGAGCCCAGAGATTGACACTCCATCTTCCCACGCTCCTTCGGCTAGTGGATTTGGAATCGAGATCAACCTGTCTCGATGTTACCATCATCACTTTGATCACTGCTGTTTCCATTTGCCCTTATAAGAAGTGCTATAAAGGCCACGCGAAGGCAAAGGGCTAAGGTGGCTAAGGGCCCCCGAGTTGGGAGTCCAAGCCGTCAGACTGATAATCCTGAATGTCTGTCTGTCTGTCTGTATCTATCTATGCGGGAGTTTCCGAGATAATGTAGTACCCTAAACAGCAGGACCCCTATTACAAGGACCCCAAAATTAGGTGGCCCTAATTTTCGGAAACTCCCGTGTTTTTGTTTGTGTGTATGCTTGTACGGACTCATACAGTCTCTCATGTACTTGCATGTATTCATGTATACATCATCGCATGCCGGTACCCTTCGAAGTGTTCCCGTCATCCGTCATCCCTTGCGGAGGGCTCAGCTCCGACTTTTGAGGTCTCTTTTCGAACTGAACATTACAGTAGCAGATGCGATTTAGCATGGGAAAGCCCTCCACACACATCAGATCAGATCAGCTCAGACAAAGTATCGGGACAAACCACGCCTAAACTTCTAAACCCCATACCCTAACCTGGCCCTAAACTCTAGACTTAAAACCAAAACCTCTACCCTCAACCTCCAACCCCAAACGAACCCCCAAATCGCCCATGAAAAACAACACAGAGACATGAGTCGATGTCCTTCCGAACTGGGCGGACCGAGCTGAGAGACCATCCTCTCAGGGGCAGGAGGGTTTCAGCGCTTTCTAGGGTGCCTTGAGTAAATTACGGGCCTTAAGAATTAGAATAGGGCTTTTGGGGCCCGTTATAGCACATTTATAGTAGGGCTCAGAAATAGTGAAGGTAAGTATTAAGGCCCCTATAGTACGTACTCTTGGCTTATAAATCTTGGTTTTGTTTAGAACGCATGAACCAAAGAGTTCTTTGAGTCAACTTTGATTGTAAGGGTGTAGGGCCGGTGCCGGGTGCCTGAGGACGGGGTTCAGGGGCCTCAATAATTAGAATGGGGCTTTGGGGGCTCCTTATTGAATTATAATATAATGGCGGGGAGGTGGAAGCGAAGCCTTCAACACTTGCTTGTGACTGAGAGCCTTCCTGGCCTTGTGAGTGTTTATGACCAGAGTCTAACCGCAGCGACAACCTGGATAGGTATACTAAAATGCTTGCCGGTCAGGTTATGAGTTATAAGTAAAACTTGAACCTCCCTGTCCGGCCTGAAATCTGAATGCTCGCTCGAATGACGGAGCTGGACAATCCGGTATAAGGATAGGAACCTACCATCGCTGTGTTGGTGGCTCTGGCCCCTCTAAAGGGTTCTATAAGGGTTACTATAAGGGATCTACAAGGGTACTATAATAATGTAGAGACGATCCTAGCTTTGCTCAACCTCGCGCCCTCGCAGCTTTTGCTGCACATCTTAACGGAGGCCTTGTGTACTGGGCCCAAGCGCCCTTAATATGAAACCGAAACCCTTGAGTACCATGTGGGAGTTTCCGAGATTTGGGGGGGTACATTATTTTGGGGTCCTTATAATAACGATCCTGGTATCTAGAGTGCTATACCTGAACCCCAAATAACCTACCTTTTGAAGAACTTATATAAAGAAATTATATTAGGGAACCCTAGGAAAGGTAGGTTCCGTGGGGTCAAGGTATTAATACGGTTATTGATATAACTCCTGCATTACCCATAAAAAGGAATGTACCATAATTCCCATAGTTTAGGGCCCTTAAGGTAATGCAGGATTTATAGCATTAACCTAAACCCTAAACCCCAAAACCCTATAGATCCCTTAAAGGAGCCCCTTGAAGGTACCCTTATAGATTTATGTCATCATCTACCGTAGGGTCCCCTATTCTCGGAAACTCCCATGTGAACCCGGAGTTGACTGCCCCCAACCCGGGATCTGATGAAAAATATAGGGGGCCTTCATAATTGGAATAGGGTTCCTTTAAAGGGCTCCTTTATGGGGTCTATAAGGCATCTATAGTAGGGTTGTATAGTATAGGGGCCTTAATGATTCGAATAGGGTTTTGGGGCTCCTTATGCTATAAATATGATAAGGCACCCCCGCAAATTAGTTTTGTCAATTATTTAGGCCCCTATGGCAACTCGTGCAGCCCAAGGGCAAGGTCATGTTGTCTTTGGAACCCAGAAGCCTTTGCTGCACTGGATGCAGAAATCGGACTGTGTTGTTTAGTCCTTCGATGACAGAAACTACAGTACTCAAAAACTGGCCGGCGGGCCTGCTGTCGGAGTAGTGAGTGCTTCCAGCGTGAGCGGTGAGCATGGCAACTGCATGCGGCAAGTCTAGCTCGTTCTATGCAGCCCCCAAAAAACTCTGCCCCTGAGTCTCAAGATCGCAGCGATAAGCCTCACGGGAAACGTCTCCACAATACGTTCCCCATCTGCTCCTATGTGCTATTCCAGCAGAGCCTCGTCTTTTTACAACTGGCTTTCATACGCTGGATTCTGAGAGTCCGAGAGGCAGGCAGGAGTGCAGCACTGCTTCAGCAGCATCACCCAAGTCCCGGCCCTCACGATCACCGGTCATGGAAAACTAGCGAGGCAGTAGCCTGATGGGTTTGAAGAGAGTCAGAAAACATGGAGCTTGTTTTCCAACAAATCTATGACATGGACATGATTATTGTAAACTGAACCTTTACAGACTTTATCTATTGAGGCATCACATTGCTGATTATTGAGCCGCGTGCCTAATGGTGAAGATCTACCGAACGAACATCACCGCCCAACAGCCCAGTGCCGCCGCCTCAGCAAGGTGCTGCAAGAGTTCCTCCACCAGCTTTTCCTCATGTGGGTAGTTGTGAAGATGATGGTCCCTTTTTGGGTACCCTAGATATTAGGTGCCGTACTATATTAAGACAAAAAAGGACCATAATATTGACACAACCTCCCATGTCTTGAATCTATCGGGGGCAGTAGCTGAGCGTTCCACTTCTTTACGATGGTCATAGACTGAAGTGACTATAGCGTTTGTAAGTTCGTGTCTGTCATAATGAAGTTAAAACAAACCAGACCCCCAACCCTGTAGTCTGTCACGAAATCAGGGAAAACTCGTCTTGCAGGCAGATGGGTGCAGCGGCTGTGCAGAGTCGGTCTTTGCGTTTTTGTTCTGTTAAGCGTCTGGGGTCGCCAACACAAGGTCCTAAACAAGTGCATCCTTTACATGGGGTAGGCATTATGTCAAAACTTGTCGGGAGTAAAATGCGAAAACTTGCCATGTGCAAATACACCTTGCCGAGAACTCCCTGACAACCAAGGCCTTATTTTACCGCTTTCTCCGACCCAGCGGAATCCGTTTAGGCAGGGTATTTAAGGGCTCCTTAAAGGGGTTCGCTGTTCTATCAAAATGGGTCAGACCATTGAGGGTTTTGTCGTTTTTCTGGTCTGACTCTTGGTTTCGGGTTCTCTCGATTCTGCTGTATGTATGTTCAGGTACTTGCTGGAATCCAAGCCTGGAATTGTAGACCCCGGAATTGCAAAGATACTGCCGCCAATGATTTCAGAACTTCCAGCAGCTGAAGGTATCCCCAATCCCTGCAAACTAAACCTTGAACCCTGATCCTTAAACCCTAATCCTGCAACCCGAACATGGACACTGAGAGTTAGAGGGAGACCAGTTTCGGAGCTCATGACATCGAAGATGCCGTCGCAAGCCAGGATTACCAGGTCACCTTGGGGTCAAAGCCTTAGGTGATTAATTCGGGTTAGCGGTTACCTGTAGGTGTTCCTTTTGTGTTAAACACCCCTGTTCTGCTCACCCCATCAAGGTTTAGAAGGCTTGGGGTTCCAGTGTAAAGTTTCGGTGTCTTGTTTACGTGCTACACAATTCGCAAGATGCGGGCCCAGGTGCCCATGTGGTAACGGCTTCGGTGTGGGGACCTGTGTTTCCTCGTTGAATTAGGGCTCCTTTAACGGGATCCTTGAAAGACCGGTTGGGCGTCGCCTTCGAAGTCGCAAGGCACGTCTTCTTTCCGTGTTGGGTGTGCGAGTTCAAGGCCGAGGCAAGGAACCGAAAGTCTTTTACGCTAGGGGCCTTAATCATCAGAATAGGGTTCTTTTGAAAGGGCTCCTTTAGGGGGTCTATAAGGCATCTAGAGTAGGGTTATATAGTATGGGGGCCTTAACAACTAGACTAGGAATTTGAGGCCTATTATACTATAGTTATAACAATAAGGAACCCCCATTATGAAGGCCCCTTTAGTACATTTCCTGGCATGGAATCCGATGCCTATGGGCATAGGCTGGCGGGTCTTAGGCTCAGGGCCTCCCAGGATGCTAGAGTTGACCCTGAAACTAAGAAACAGGGGCCTAAAGAATTACCAATACTACTGACTACTGTTGATGGACAAAATCCTGCATGACCTTAAGGACCCCAAACAATGGGAATGATGGTATATTCCTTATAAAGGGTAGTGCAGGATTTTGTCCATCAACAGTATCTTGATGGGCTCCTTATTATCATTATAGTATAATGGGCCCCAAAACCCTGCTCTAATTATTAAGGCCCCTACATAAACTATCCTTTCATACTCCGAGCCCCGGGGCCAGAAGCAAGATCGGCGAAGAAGAGCTCCGGGACATAGGAGACCTTCTGCTGTGTGGAATCCTGCGGAGAAGATCTCTGGCTTCGATATTCAGTAGTAGTAGTAGTAATAGTAGTAGTAGTAGTAGTAGTAGTAGTAGTAGTAGTAGTAGTAGTATTAGTAGTAGTAGTAGTAGTAGTAGTAGTAGTAGTAGTAGTAAGTAGCAATCTGATTTGATAACATCAAAATAGCAAGATCTCTCAAAGGAGCCCTAAGCTTTCACCAGAGTCAAAAGTTGTGGGAAGCCTGGGGCTCTAAGCTAAGTTGCCCTCTCTCTCTCGCCCTGCATCCCCTGGGCTTGCAACTGTCCCAAGAGGGTCTTTCTGCATGGGCCAATCAAACCGCTCCGACGGGAGGGGGGCTCTTTCAAAGCTTGCTCGCATGCATTCGCAGCGCTGAAAGGAGTGCTCGTGTCTAGCTGATTCACTTTGACACCGCCAGCACCCTTCCCTCCACCCGTAGTCATATTCCCAACGGAACAGGCTGCCAATTCTTAAAGGCCAGCAGGCACACGACAAACCCAAAGCCCTCAAGGAACTCCCCGTGAGCCCTCCTTGTCCGGGTTCTTCTTGAAATCGAAGTCACCTGAAGTTTCAGAGATCCGAGTTCCTTTCTGTCAGTGCCAGCTGAATCTTCCCCTCTTCTATAGGCTCTCTATCAGTCTAACCGTCTAACCAATCTAGCCGCTGGTATGATAAGGATCCTACAGTTTAGGGTACTATATCAGGGTCCCCTATTTTCGGAAACCCTCATCTAAGGTTCCAGGTGCAGATTTGCAGCCCTCGTCTGTTAAATTTCAATATTACTGCCTTTAGAGGGGGATAAAAAAAATCTACTGGAATTAAGGTTTTGGCAATGGCTGCAAGCTGAGAAAGAAACCGATCAAGCACATGTGCGCTTCGGAATACTTTTCTCTTGTTGCCCGCATTTTGGTCGACGACCGGGTCCTCCATTTCAGGAGTAGTGTTCCTCTGCTAACTCTGCTATGCAGAGGCGTCTGGTGTCTGTGTGTCAGCACCACTGTTTGTAGGCTTTTTCAGCAGATTTAAAAAATCTTTTTCTTGTTTTTCAAAGTCTTTGTTTCAGCAGTTTTTTTAAATTAAAAAAAATATTTTTCACATTCTTCATTCCAGCAGATTTTTTTTATGAAAAACAAATATTTCTTTTATTTTTTCAAAGTCTTTATTTCAGCAGACTTTTTTTTATAAACTTTTTCCAAAAGTTTTCATTCCAGCAGATATTTTTGTTTATAAAACTTTTTTTGGTTTTTTGTTTCAAAATCTTTGTTTCAGCAAATTGTTTGATAAATTTTTTCAAAATCTGTATTTCAGCAATTTTTTTTATAGAAAAAATATTTTTTCAAAATCTGTATTTCAGCAGCTTTTTTGTAAAAAAAAAGTATTCTTTTTACGTTGTTTCAAGTTCTTCGTTCCAGTAGATTTTTTTAATAAACTATTTTTCTTATTTTTTCAAAATCTTTATTTCAGCAGATTTTTTTATATTTTTTAAATGTTTACCAAATTCTTCTTTCCAGCAATTTTTTTCATAAAAAAACATTTTTTATTTTTTGTTTCAAAATCTTTATTTCCGCAGATTTTTTATTAAAAAAAAAAAATAGTTTTCTGCACAGACCTTTATTTCAGAAAAAAAACAGCAATTTCAGATCTTTTTTTTATAAAAAAAATATTTTTTTATTTTTTCTGCACAGACCTTTATTTCAGCAAAAAAGCCGCAATTTCAGATGATTTTTTTACAAAAAAAAATCTTTTTTTTATTTTTTTCTGCACAGACCTTTATTTCAGCAAAAAAACCGTAATTTCACAGGATTTTTTCTATAAAAAAAATCTTTTTTTTTATTTTTTTCTGCACAGACCTTTATTTCAGCAAAAAAACCGTAATTTCAGAGGATTTTTTTTTATAAAAAAAATCCTCTGAAATTAAGGCCTTTTTGAAAAAATCACATTCTAAATCTTGATGCAGAAAACCTGCAAAACCTGAATTTGTATCAGAAAATAGAGTGCTGATTCGCTATCTGCACTCTAGATTCTGAATGAATTTCAGGTGTTTTGGGGTTTTTGGCACTGTTTTTAGAGTGTGAATTTTTCAAAAAGGCCTTAATTTCAGAGGATTTTTTTAAAAAAAATCCTCTGAAATTACGGTTTTTTTGCTGAAATAAAGGTCTGTGCAGAAAAAAATATAAAAAAGATTTTTTTTATAAAAAAAATCCTCTGAAATTACGGTTTTTTTGCTGAAAAAAAGGTCTGTGCAGAAAAAATAAAAAAAAAAGATTTTTTTTATAAAAAAAATCCTCTGAAATTACGGTTTTTTTGCTGAAATAAAGGTCTGTGCAGAAAAAAATAAAAAAAAAGATTTTTTTATAAAAAAAATCCTGTGAAATTACGGTTTTTTTGCTGAAATAAAGGTCTGTGCAGAAAAAATAAAAAAATATTTTTTTATAAAAAAAATCCTGTGAAATTACGGTTTTTTTGCTGAAATAAAGGTCTGTGAAGAAAAAAATAAAGATTTTTTTTTATAAAAAAAGCTGCTGAACTATTTTTTTCAAAAAAAAACCAAAAATGCGTTTATAAACTGATCTGTTGAAACACAGATTTTCGAAAAATAAAAACAAAAAGTATTTAAAATAACTGCCAAAGTAAATGCGCAGCAAAAAAATCTTTCCCTTATAAAATGAATTGCTGGCACTGCTGTAATAAGAAATATCAGAAAAAACATGAACATTATTTAAAAAAGGCTGCTAAGGTAAGTTAGAAAGACTATGTAAAATCTGCCAAAGTAAAGGTTTCAATAGTTTTAGATTTAACAATAACATTTACCGTGACAAATCTTTCGTGTAAACAAAAAGATGCTTTCTATCAGACAACAAACTGTTTCTTTCACAAAATTCTGCCTCAGGAAATGTCTGCCGATAAAATGTATGTTGTCACATAGAATGACGAGTTTTCTGCTGAAGCATAGTTTTGATTCCGCTATGTTCCTCTGCAGAGAAGATTTCTCCTTATCTTGCAGGCAAGACAAACCGTGTTAAGCTTAAGGCAAAGGACTACGGTCCGGCATTCAGCTGTATGTAAAAACAAAGGCGAGCTTTTTTCTGTTTCAAGTCCTTTTTTCTTGACACACAATGAAGTCAGAAGGAATGTGGCAAGGGACTGCGTAGGAAAAATCAAGCACCAGTCGGGATGCTAAACAGCAGCAAGAAAGCATCACCGGGTATTCCAAGCAGAGGTTTATGATAGATCTGGGACAGCGCTACCTACCCGTGAAAGGACTCAACATGGATGATTGCCTTTAGACGTCAGCACTGTCCAACCAGGCACCTCGTACACAAGCAACCTTCGCAAGAAGCTTAATTTCAGCAGATTTTTTTTATGACCTGAATATTGAAATTTAACACCCTCGTCTTGGCCGAGCCACCAAAGCCACGCGACACAGCAAGATTGCCATCGACCCGCGCGACGTCCGGATTCATCCGGGAGGGGCCAGTCACGAATCCTTTTCTCTCTCCAGCTTCGGAACCAAGAGACTACTGCACAGAGCCTTTCACATGAAGATATAATCTGTTCACAACCTGTCTATATCCATGTCAGCATGGGTACACATACCGGAGCATGCCAAGCCTTCCAAGAATGTATCTTCGCAAGCTTTACGCGAGGCCGGGTCCTCCGGCGCGCGAGATGCGTTCTCGCTCTGCTGGCAGGTCAGGCTTGTGATCTTGGGACGCGACAATCCTGGCTGACAGGTGAATTTTGACTGCAGCTCCTTAAAATGTCATCTTCCTTCTGTGGACAGCAGGCAGCTGAAGGTCTCACTGTAACTTCGCATTGGCACGGGTATCCGAGAAATTCAAATCATCCTAGCATGTCCTGAGCCAAATAAGGAAGTACGGCAAGGCAGGGCCTCTGAACCCACATGATCTGCACCAAGATTCACAGGCTCCGCACCCTGACGGAGCTGCACCAGGAGGCCTCTGGAATCGCCAGCATTAGCCAGGAAGCAGCTGAAGATGTTGGGGTCCTCTGAACGGATGCTTTTTTGTAAATAAGGCTCCTATTATGGACCAGATACAGACCGTAATTATAACTGTAACTTTTTGGCATCAACCGAACCATTCTGAAGCTTCATCATGAACCGCACGATGGATACAGTTGGTGGGCCGAGTCTCCATCTGCCAGTTCCTAACCTTAACCTCAGGGAACAGTCTTTCTCCTTTGATGCGGAGTATGCAAGAAATAGTTCGAGAGTCGACGTTTCTACAACAAGCCGATGTGAGGTGCTGTCTTATCGTTTCGACGAACTCCTTGCTGCACACCGTGTCCTGCGAGTCCTTCACCTCCAAACCGGCAGCAACACAGGTGCTACCACAGGAAGCCATACCTTGCTGCGGTCGACTTGAGTGTCCACAGCTGGTTCTATGCTCTGTCACTCATACAAAAACACACACGCACACACACACACACACACATCTCTCTCTCTCTCTCTCTCTCGCTCCCTCTCTGTCTGTCTCTCTCTCTCTCTCTCTCTCTCTCTCTCTCTCTCTCTCCCCCTCTCTCTCTTGGTATATGTATACATATATATATATATATATATATATGTATATATAAATACGTGTGGATAGGAAGATAGATGGATGGATCGACAGATAGATAGAGAGAGGTGAAGATATCGAATATAGATGTAGATATAAGTACAACAGATACTTATAGGTTGAATGAGATTGTGCCATAACTGCTCTCTGCCACGGTCATCTGGAAGTGATCCTGTGCTTTCAGACGGGAGAACGTGTGGAGGCTCATGGATGCCAAGTTCTTGTGTACTTTAGGGTCGGGATTGGGTTGAGGGTTTAGGGCTTCTCCCCCAAGACTGTGAAGAACAAAACCTGCCAGCGAAGTTGAGGGTCCAAGTCAGGGATCAAGACGAGTAAGGCTATGCTCCACAGCAGGTGGTCCGAGAAGCACTGCACGGGGATGCTTTGCCGGGTGTGTGTCGCGAAGCCAAAGACTTTCTGTAAAAATCAATACGAAATGATATCACATGATATTGTATTTTAACCGGATAGAACGAATTACATATGCTGAGGCCAAAGGCCAGGCAGTTGGGGAAAAGTTGCTTTTATCAATCATCATGCTCCGGATTACACTCAGCCCTACTTGCCAAAATGATTGCGTTGATCTGCATCCGACCTCAAGCGTGGTCCATCACAAACACGCGGCTACACTATTTTGAGCTCGACACCTCAGCAGAACGAGCATGTGGGTTTCGATGGAGCTGCACAATCTGAGACCCTTCAAAGGTCCATGCCATTTTTGCTACTAGGCTCAAGTCTAGCCAGACCACGGCATGGTAAACTCTGGAAGCCCTAAGCCACAGCACCGCCGATGCTCTTCAGGTTCTGGTCCACCTCTGCGAAGGCACCTTTCAACAATCACGAGCTTGGAACTCATAGTGGAGTTGTTGTCAAGAAACCGAAGGAATATCATTAATTAGTATTTATTCAGGCTTCTACTTCAACGGGCTTTGGGTTCAGGACAGGTCAATGGCTGCCTGCAGCTGTAACCGTTTAACTTGGCGGCCCTTGTCAGTCGCCAAAAGTTTTAAGCCCATCTACTGTTGAGGGGGACTGGAATCTGAAACAAGAGGCTTTTAGAATTCGAAGAGGGCTATTTGTGGTATATTGAAACGTATTTGAGTACATGGGAAGCACACGGTGGATATGTATTACTGTGACTTATTCCTGCCCCTGTGTTAGTCTTGACATGGCTTAAGGGCTCTGGGCATTCATAAGCTGGTTCCAAGCTGCAGAAACCTTCATTTTGACGAAGCTCGGCTTCGCAGGTTCTTGTCTGTGCGAACGAGATCGGAAAGAACCAACTGAGGGCTTCAAACAACGGAGTTTGGTACATGATTGCAAGTAAAGTACCTGTAGGATACTCATGGTAACGACCCCTACATTCAGTAATACGTGGTTAATTAGTAATTAGTGTCGAAGCAACGGTAGGATCCGCAGGATAAGGACATCCTTAGTACACATGTATGCAAGTTTTGTTTTGTATATGTATGTATACATATATATATATATATATATGTATGCTACATATGCGTGTGTGGCTGTGTGCATGTGTGTATATATAATATATTGACTATAGATCTATTATATATATATATATATAGAAACATATGTACCTATATATGTACATACACCTACATATATTTATTCATAATTAGAACCTATTTTAATTTTCCTTGTATGTATGTATACACACACATCTATATATATATATATACAGAGCATATGCATGTGATTATTTGCTATTGGTTAGGTAACCCTCGAAAGTAAGAAGCTCCCACATCTTCTCTCCTTGTCAAGGCCAAGAGACTGCTCACACGCTCTTTCAGCTGCTCTTGACCTGCCAGGCAACTACTGGGATGCTTTCTTGCGGGGCTTGCAAACCATGTAGGACACTCCGTGCAACCGATTATGTATCTCTCTCTAAGTATAGTCAAATAAAATCAGATATAAATACATTAAATTGCGTGTATATATATATATATATGTCCGTGCGTGTGTGTACTCTCGCAAAAGGCTTCTGAGGCTGCAAGACGATGTGACTCACCGGACTAAGGAGGATGCAAGCACCAACTCCACGAACTGTGGTCATAGATCCTATGCTGACGGCCCCGCCCGCTGTTCAGCGGTTGGATGGAAAGTAAATGCTGCCATTGACGCAACTTCTGGCATCACTCTCCCACAGTTTAAACCCTCAATGGTCCTCAACCCCAAGATGCGGCTAACAAGCCCCATCTCATAAGCTGCAGGCCTCCATCGCCGTCGACCGCTTGGCGCAGGCGGGTTGGCAACTGCGAGGCCGCAGCAAAGGCTGCCTGGGAAGCGAAGCTATGATTTGGGAGTTTCCGAAAATTAGGGGTACCTTATTTTGGGGTCCTTATAATAAGGATCCTGCTATTTAGGGTACTGTATTAGGGTCCCCTATTTTCGGAAACTCCCATTTCGGGACACGTTATACTTATTGTGTTGTTGCATAAGCGAATATTGTATGATTCAATATTGTCAACTCTGTTTTAGTCTATTCTACTCTATTTGCATATGCTCGTAAACTGTATTTTCCTGCATGGAGGAGGGATGTGGATGATATGGTAATTTCTGTATGTTATTATCAGAACTTTAAAGCTCTTGCTCTTGCCGAGCCTCTACACGGCGCCATGCGGGCTCCCAATGTTCATCGTAACAAGATAGCGAATGTAGCTAGTGCAGCAGACGGGTGCGACAACTGCCAAGTAGTAGTCGTAGTAGTAGCAGCAGTAATAGTAGTGGTCGTCGTAGTCGTAGTAATAGTACCAGTACTAGTTGTGGTAGAAACTGTCGTTGTTGTTGCTGGCGTTGTTGTTGAAACAGGTCAGCAAAAAGGAGCAGCTGTCGCGTTCTGGTCCCAACCAAATGACTATGATCACAGTTTGCAATCACAGGCACAATCATAAGTGATTGCAAGCACGCACAGTCACGCTCTAACCAATAGCAGCAGTAACAGCACTTTTTCAGCAAGGATGCACAGCTATAGCAACATTACACGTTCATGATCCTGCTATCTGTGATAAGAAAGACAATGTTTACTACTCATTCCAGTCACTTGGTTGCGAGCTGGACTTTAGAACATGCCATTCCACGGAGGGAATCCGTAATTGCCCGGAAGCTTATGATCCAAGCATTGGGGTTTGGGCTTTAGGGTTGTCAAGTGCCTGGGGCTCAGGGTTGCGACACGCGCTCTTGCTCAAGGCAGGCACGGGTTCGGGCACAAGGTCCACTCGCGGTAAGGTCATGTCGGGTAGCAACACTGGCGAAACTCCTGGCAGTTTCCAAAAAAGTTCAAACAATAGTGTCTATGACCGTGGATAAACGGCAATGGAAATGCGAGTGTCAAAACTTCATTTGTGCTCGAAAGCTACCTCAAAACCTTTAGTCTGCAGACGAGCCTTTGCTCTGCAGGGTTCGGGGTTGAGGGTTAAGGGCTGGAGGCTTGGCTGCTCAGGTGCGGGAGTCAGATTCACGACTTCACATGCTCTCTTCTGGACATTCCTTTCCATGCCGTCAAAGCCCATGATTATGGTACTACTAGGGTAGTTTTAGTGCGGGACTGAAGCATCCCTCAGACTGTGCTTGCCTGGCAAATATCATGTCTGTCTTTCACCCTTAGTGCTTTGGACGGACAGGTTCCCCCTGACAACGTGGATCCCCATGACACACTGTTCTCAGCCCGAACTGGTTTGAAGACTACCCTGAATAAGTAGAACGGGGTTTTGGGACCCATTATACTATGTATAACTGTAGTAAGGAACCCTCAAAATAGTATGGGTAAATGTTAAGGCCCCTATAATACCTGTGAATTCCTGAGCTTTTCGTATCTCAAGAGCTACACAGCACTCCCAACTTGCCTAAGGCAGGGTGGCGTCGGCGGCGTCTTGACTGAGACACTGGGCTTGGCAAGTATGCCATACCGGCTGGGAAGTCCGAGGCATGCAGCCCTCAGGCCAATGCAGAGCTTTGGGCGTGTCGCATCTTGCGGGCCTGGTTGTCCGTCGCATTCAGCAGTCATGACTTAAGAAGATTGGTTGGATGCCAGGCAGCTTGGAGGGCACGCGGTCTGGAACGGCAATGCAGAACAGCGACAACTCTGTGGGCAAAGTGATGCCAGTGGTCGAAACAGGCCTGGGTGGCCATCACAATACGCGGCACCGAGGAAGCCGTCCGTGGGAAATTGCAACAACATAGGACAACCTCCGGACAACATCGCCTGGATGACTTGGTTTGCCGTGGCAAATGCTTGAAAGCTCTGTACATCTTGGCCCAAGAAGCCAGATATCGCCGGCCCATAGTTAAGCCAAAACGATCGCCAGCTGTCGTGCTCCGGAGGCACATCCTGACAGCTGCTGTTCTGCAGCCGCTGCTGACCCAAAGCAACACATGTGGGTGAGCAGCCCTGCGCCGCCACTTTGTACCAAGGGGAGCTATGCGGATCTAAGCACCCGCAAGTGTCAGCACACACCCAGCGCATCAGGCGAGACTCGGCCAAGTCACAGACATCGCGCAGCTCGCCGCAGCTCGAAGCACCGGAGCGTCCCACACTTGTAGCTGCATTATTCAGGAGCCGTCTGGCCAAGAGTTGTGTCTCTATGTCTGTGCTGAACATACCTCCCTGGTTCAGTGCATGCACCTCAACACAGAACTGGGCGTTTGAAGCTTGCTCCGCCATGTTGCGAGTGCTTTCTTCTTCGAACAGGGCCTTGTTCGCAGAAAATAGGATATAGGTGGAACCGGATGCATCTGGCATGCTCTCCGGTGAGTTGGCCTTGTGAGAGAAAACAGCAAGCTCAACGGGCGAAAGGCTGCCATAGTCGCGGGATGTCGTCGTAGACAGACCTAGGCTGTCGATAAAAAACAGGATCGTCTATTCCGCGATACGAACCTACCATACTAAATCAGTGGATTTTACGTACAAGAGCTGCCTAGAAACCGTATGGTATCTGGGTGTCATCATTGTAGCGGACAACGAATGTCTGCGTTCCACCGCACAGCTCGTTCTTCACCTTCAGCATCGTGTCACCCAGAGGAACCAGCAAAGAGAAATAGACCACAAGAACAAGAGCAACCAGAGAGACGAAGTGCACCAGGGATTCGAACTGGCTTCGGCATCGGCTGTAGCTGACTTGTACCGGCTCAAGACGATGTATCCTCTGACGGATCTTGATGGGGGCCATGCCCTCGAATAGGAATTCGTCAACGTCCAAAACGGCGTTGAGGGCCACTGCGTTCAACATCAACTCCTCGATGCTTGTTGTTCGAGCCAGCCAAAGAATTCCTGCCCCCATCAAGAGAGATGCGATCACCGCCCGAACCAAGTAAATGACCAGCAACACAAAAAAGCGCGACCAAGATAGGCTCTCAAAGGAGTTGTTGCGGAACACTGATTGATGTGACTTGGGAATCCCAATCGTCGCCTCAAGCTGCTGCCAAATCTTGCGAAACTCCTGCAAACGTGGATGTGCAGAACTTCAATTTTTAATAGAGGAAGATAGGGGCCGCAAGGACTAGAATAGGGTTTCTGATACGGAGCTTTTGGGACTAAGCTTGATTATAGATGATAAGTACATAAATAAACGAAGGTTGATGTAGACGGAGAGATAGCATGCCTCGACAGTGATATATATATATATATATATATATATATATATATACATATATACATACATATACATAAGTAGATAGCATTGTTGGGCAGTGAACACAACACATGTCAGTGGCAGCCTACTGTCAGCCCTACGCCCCCCGAATCCATGGTTCAGCCCTGTGCCTGGTAGATGCACAAGCTCCAAAAAACAATACACAGGAGACATAGAAGCGTACCTGGTTGCCAAAAGGGAAACTCAATCTGCGTCTTTTCGAGGCCGAGGAAGCTGTTAACGTGATTGACGAGTATCGCTTGGGTTGTGGACAGAATTAGCGCTGAGTCACCATTGCAAACTCTGGACACCAAGCTGGTGGATGACAAATCCAGATACTTGGCATCATGCGCTACACTGGTGCGCCAGATCTTGGCGCTGTCAATCTCCTTCTCCAAGCTGTCGCCCATGAACCCTTCCGAGAGAAGAACCCAGGTGAACGCCACCTGCATAAAAAGGTTCAGTAAAACAAGTATGATCGAAAAAGCATGGTCGAACCAGCCCGCATCGACCAATCCAATGAGCAGTGGAACGCTCCAGGTGCTAGCCTCGAAGCAGACGTCGGTAAGATCCTCCGGCTCTTGACCAGTCCTGGCTTCCCTCACCGTCACCTTGAGGGAAGACGGCTTGGCCTCCGGCGTTTCTGAATCGCTTGCTTTGGGAAGTCCAAGGGCCTCCTCGATGGCCGCCAGGCGAACCAAGATACTCGTCACGTCCGCTTCCAGGCCCTCCCGCAGCAGCGCAAACTGCTCCTCAAGGAGGCCCGGCATCTGAATGCTGATGCCTTCCGGTTCATCGGCATCTTGAGCGACCTCTCTTTTGTGAGGAATGCGAGGCTCCGGCATGGCTGCAACGTGTGGAAGCCACTGGTTGAACCTTCGTCTCGGCCCGCGTGCACTACAGTGGAATTCGCAGGGCAGCGTGCCAAAATGGATCAAACTGCTTGGCTGGATTCGCAAAACAGGCACATGACTCGGAATAGAAGCCAAGAGCAACTTTCAGCCAAGGACTTGCTGCGGGACGGTCCAAACTTTTCAACCGTTGCACACAGCATGACCTCGTTGCAATCATGGTACACTTGAGTGACGGTTGTGGGACTGTCCCGGCGGCAGCTTCCGTATTACCCTAAACTGCGTGCGAGTAGTAACTATGTATGCAACATCGCCTCCCAGATCAAACCTGCTTCTTCCGAGCATCTTAGGCAATTGTCCTTTCGGTGGTCTTTCTGTTCCTGTGTGCAGTCCTCACTGCTACGAGTTACGAGTACCCTGTACAAGTACGACAGTTTTGCTGTCGGGGTTATGACCTTTTGTGGGGCTGAAAGCTAGAGCTGGCTTTTGGTTGAAGGTTGAGATATGCGAAGGACACCTCTGTAGCATGGCTCCATGGCGTTCGGCTTAGGGTGAAGGTGCGTCTATATGTTTAAATATGTGCACTTATGTATTTGTTGTTCAGACTCTTTAGACATTCATATCTATATACATGGATACATACTATATACATGCTGATAGATATAGACCTGTATAGGACATGCACAGGTATGTATGCACCCCTTGGACATGGCATCTTGTGATGCGCAGGACAGTTGGGCAGCACACAGTCTCCACGCGGCCTTCTTCCCGCCATGGCCATCCAGAACCCCAAAGAAGGCGCTCGCGGAGCCTCAGGAGCTGATACTTGTTCCCCTGAGGCTCAACATGACCCGAGAGCGGTTTGTGGTTTTCGATCTTTGGCTGCGCCTCACGGTGAAGATGTGTCTTCCGAAGAAGGATATGGGAGTTTCCGAAAAATCAGTGACCCTAATACAGTGCCCTAAATGGTAGGATCCTTATTATAACGACCCCCAAACAAGGCACCCCCAATTTTCGGAAACTCCCACATCTGTCACAAACGGAACAAACAGTTCATGACACTTCTGGATCAATGGCGCCTTCGTGGCCGGCCTCCAGGAAATGCGCGTCCTGTAAAGCAGGTTATGCATGCTTGTGCAATGATACTTCGTCGTAGCATGGACTTACTGCATCATGCTGCATCCGATTTCTCATGTGTTTTGCAAGTGTGTGTCGGACTTTTGCTCGCATTTCATGGCCTCTAGCAGGTCACTGCTGCATGCTGTGAAGGGCTCCTGGATTTCGTAGCACATGTGACTCGTCTTTGCAAGTCCTCGTGAGTGATGCGCCAGCCCTGCATTTCGGCCACCGCAGTGCGCCATTTACAGGACCCTGGCATCAGGACGGGGAAGTTTCAGGGTAGGGGTCTGAATGCCAAGACTCGCTCAGGCAACACGGAACGACGACGTAACCTGAGGTTTCGAAAACACATACACCGAATCTCCAATCACGTCCTTTGTACAAATGCACGAAGAACTTGACCCGCAAGGCCTTGTGAGGTGCGGCGTTCCACACGAACGGCGTCGATGGGCGACGAAGCGAAAGCACCCATGGCTTCACTGTTTGAGGGCCCAGGGCTTACAAAGCTTGCTAGTCGGTGTTGAGGCTGCGAGTAAGTTTGAGTTAGGTTTCGAGCTCTCAGCACTCGCTGGAAACTTCGAGTGAGGATGTGTGTAAGGTTTTTTCCCTCCTACTCAGCATGGACGAAGGTTTTGAGCTATGGAGACTGGCGGAGCGAGCCGAGGGCACTGGGTCTCTAGCTGAAACCCACAAGGCTCGTCGAGTTTAAGTATGGGACAAGATATCCAGCCTTCCCGTGCGGGAACATACATATAGATAGATAGGTAGGTATGTACATCATAATCAATATGTGTATGTGCCGATATAATCTATAACAAGGTTAGGCGTTGCAAGCTGATGAGGAAACATTTGCCTGATGGCCCTACATACATGCTTGGAGATAGGCCTTAATCGGCGGAAGGAAACTATTCGGCGATGGCTTGCACCTGGCAGCCAAAATAACTTTTTATCACATCGAGGGGTTGGGAATCGTGGCATATTATACTATTGCAAAAAGAAGCCACCCCCCCAGAAAAAAACACAACAGGTAGTTAGTAGTACTAAGGCCCCTCTATTCAATCCTCATAATAGCCCTTTAAAGACTGCTTTATAATATAGGTAATTATCAGGGCCCCTAAATTATTTGAGGGGAGTTGGTTTAGGCACCCTTTTCAACGAGGAGCTTGAACTCGTGCTCCCGCTCTTGCTCCAAGCCCTAACACCCCCCAAAACCTGGCTGATAACTCAGACTGTATGGGCCTTAATAATCAGAATAAGCTTGGGGGGTATATTATACTTCATAGTACAGTCAGGAACCCCCCAAAAAATCCTATTCTAATGATTAAGGCCCCTACTTTAAAGACTGTGAGCTGATCCAAGCGTCGGTTCAGATTGTCCAGGATTGTCTGGATAGCTCGTCGCTGTCCATCGGCATGGGACCAGAGCCCAAGATTCCGTCCCAAGTCGGACTCCTTTGAATTAGGGCTTTAGGCCGACTCCTTTAAAACTCAGAGCGACCCCTACATAATTTCCGAAACCCCCAAGTGATAAGCCAGCCCACATATCACAGATATGTCCAGAACACTCCCCCAAAAGTATCTGCCTGCGGGTGGACAAATGTTTGTGTGTGTGTGTAGGTATTGCTCCTGTGTTGGAGCGCATCAGTCTAGGCCTAGTTTTGGTTTAGAGTCGATAGGGTTCGGAATTGATGGCGGTTGTGGTAGGTTTGGGCATTATGACTTGAAGTACTCATGCAACAAGTCTTAAACAAGGAAGCCCTAAACCCAACACCCTCAAAGTTAAGAAAAACCGACAAAACCCGCAAGCATTCCAAAGAACACTTCCTACACCAGAGGCACAAATGCCAAGACACTCACGAATATAGCCAATTCATTAGTGCTAGAACCTCGCGCTAAGCAAAGGCGCTCCTGACCAAACAGTGCAGCCACTGCAAAAACGACCTCAGGTTGCCAGCAGAATCCCATCAAAGTACACAGTAGAATACTTTGGAAGATAGTTGGAAAGACAAAATACATGAGTAAACATATATATATATATATACATATATATATCTTGGTGTGTGCGTCGACCCTCCCGAAAAATTTTAAGGGATCTGGGCCTGGGAGCCTCGCATATGATGATGACTGATGATGATGATGGTGATGATGATGTTGCGGCCCATGAACCTTGAACAAGCCTCGGAACCTGATGACATTGATGACAGATGATGACGATGAGGACTCCACGGGGCATGCTTAATTTTCCAAGCCTCGATGATGACTGGTTACCCTCAGTCAGGGAGTCTGTGTTCGACTGAATCTGCGACGGAACAAGACTCGCCGCAAGCAACCCAGCTCCCTGGGCTGAGACCTGTGCTGAGCCTGACAACCCAACGAACTATTCTACCTGGGAGCCTGGGAACCTAGGAACCGAACCTTTGCCGAGCCTCGTGATGATTGTCAGATTGTCATGTCACGGCACATGTCTCAGCCCAGCCAGGGAGGGAGTCTTGCGGCAGATCTTCAACCGCAGATGCATTCGGCAACAGTCGCAAAGCCGGACTGGTGAGGAGCAGCATCATCATATTATGATGATGTTTCTCCTAACCAGTCCGGCTTCCCGAGTAGCGGTTGAGAGCATGCCGAGCTTGCACACGCTCTCCTGCAGCCCGTGTCTGGGAACAGGCAAACAGGCAAAGAGTGTTAGTCTCCAGCAACCTTTTAGAAACTGTCAGACCAATCCGGCTGGACTACAGACAACTTGCAAGTCAACTCTACAAGCCCGTGGCACGCATATCCTCTGGGCCCCCTGGGCCTGGAAGCCTCGCATATGACTGATGACTGATGATGATGATGGTGATGATGATGTTGCGGCCCATGAACCTTGAACGGGCCTGGGAACCTGATGACATTGATGACTGATGATGGTGATGATGATGTTGTGGCCCATGAACCTTGAACGGGCCTGGGAACCTGATGACATTGATGACAGATGATGACGATGAGGACTCCACGGGGCATGCTATTATTAGCCTCGATGATGACTGTCATGCCACGGCACAGGTCTCAGCCCAGCTATTCTACCTGGGAGCCTGGGAACCTAGGAACCGAACCTTTCCCGAGCCTCGTGATGATTGTCATGTCACGGCACATGTCTCAGCCCAGCCAGGGAGGGAGTCTTGCGGCAGATCTTCAGCCGCAGATGAATTCGGCAACAGTCGCGAAGCCGGACTGGTTAGGAGAAACTTAATTAATTTCATTTGCGATTGCCGAGCTGAACCTGGAAGCCGATACGACACGGGCTGAAGGAGAACATGCCGAGCTTCGACACGCTCTCCTGCAGCCCGTGTCTGGGAACAGGCAAACAGGCAAAGAGTGTTAGAACCCAGCAACCTTGTGAAACCTCAACTCTCAGACCAATCCGGCTGGACTACAACTTGCAAGTCAACTCTACAAGCCCGTGGCACGCATATCCTCTGGGCCCTCTGGGCCTGGAAACCTCGACTGATGACTGATGATGATGATGGTGATGGTGATGATGATGTTGCGGCCCATGAACCCTGAACGGGCCTGGGAACCTGATGACATTGATGACTGATGATGGTGATGATGATGTTGCGGCCCATGAACCTTGAACGGGCCTGGGAACCTGATGACATTGATGACAGATGATGACGATGAGGACTCCACGGGGCATGTGTTAAAATTATATCTTTATTTAAAATTTAATTAGCCTCGATGATGACTGTCATGCCACGGCACACGTCTCAGCTGGGTTCAGACTCCCTGACTGAGGGTAACAGACTGAGCCTGGCAACCCAACGAACTATTCTACCTGGGAGCCTGGGAACCTAGGAACCGAACCTTTCCCGAGCCTTGTGATGATTGTCATGTCACGGCACATGTCTCAGCCCAGCCAGGGAGTCTTGCGGCAGATCTTCAGCCGCAGATGAATTCGGCAACAGTCGCGAAGCCGGACTGGTTAGGAGAAACTTAATAATTTCATTTGCGGTTGCCGAGCTGAACCTGGAAGCCGATACCACACAGGCATGCAGGAGAGCATGTCGATTCGACACGCTCTCCTAGCCCGTGTGGGAACAGGCAAACAGGCAAAGAGTGTTAGAACCCAGCAACCTTGTGAAACCTTCAACTCTCAGACCAATCCGGCTGGACTACAACTTGCAAGTCAACTCTACAAGCCCGTGGCACGCATATCCTCTGGGCCCTCTGGGCCTGGAAACCTCGACTGATGACTGAAGATGATGATGGTGGTGATGATGATGTTGCGGCCCATGAACCTTGAACGGGCCTGGGAACCTGATGACATTGATGACTGATGATGGTGATGATGATGTTGCGGCCCATGAACCTTGAACGGGCCTGGGAACCTGATGACATTGATGACAGATGATGACGATGAGGACTCCACGGAACTATTATTATATTTTATCAGCCCAGGGAGCTGGGTTGCCAGCGGAGCAATTCAAAGTTCTGCCGAACACAGACTCCCTGACTGAGGGTAACAGACTGAGCTTGGCAACCCAACGAACTATTCTACCTGGGAGCCTGGGAACCTAGGAACCGAACCTTTCCCGAGCCTCGTGATGATTGTCATGTAACGGCACATGTCTCGGCCCAGCCAGGGAGGGAGTCTTGCGGCAGATCTTCAGCCGCAGATGAATTCGGCAACAGTCGCGAAGCCGGACTGGTTAGGAAAACTTATTTTAGCCGAGCTGAACCTGGAAGCCGATACCACACGGGCACGGCATGCAGGAGAACACCTCGAGCTTCGACACGCTCTCCTGCATGCCCGTGAACCTGGGACGGCGCGGAAGCGGCAGAATCTCTGCCGCTTCCACACTGTTTTTCTCCAGAAATTGTGACACCTAAAACTCTCAGACCAATCCGGCTGGACTACAACTTGCAAGTCAACTCTACAAGCCCGTGGCACGCATATCCTCTGGGCCCTCTGGGCCTGGAAGCCTCGCATATGACTCAGATGACTGATGATGATGATGATGATGGTGATGATGATGTTGCGGCCCATGAACCTGGAACGGGCCTGGGAACCTGATGACATTGATGATCGATGATGACGATGAGGACTCCACGGCGCATGCTTAATTTTCCAAGCCGTTGAGCCTGGACTGCAATTGATGTTCCGCGTGCACGCCGTGCATTCCCCGCAGCATCAATTCGAACCAGGTGTTTCCAGTGGAAACACCTGGTTCGATTGATGCTGCGTGTGGCGCCTGGGGCCTGAAGTCTGTTGCTGCTCTGTTGCATGCACCGGCAGTGAACATCCACGGAACGGCCACCGGCAAGGTTTCCATGTCCCCAGACTCCCTCAGCGACTCTGCCACGGTCATCTGTCCGCCCTTAAAGGGTGGACAGATGACGGTGGCAGAGGCGAACCCAGGCGAACAACCATGGAGCCTGGCAGTAACCTTAAAATCTTAAATATTGGGAGCCTGGGAGCCTGGGAACCTATGAC